CCGTGTCCTTTCCTCCAGTGAGTTAGCTCTGCCCAGCATTGCGATGGACGCGTCATGCTTTTTCAACAAGAGCTGAATGAAACAAATGGGAAGGAAGGAAGAAAGGGAGGGAGGGAAGGAGGGAGGGAGGGCAGGCGGGCGAGCTTACTGACCCTGCTCCCCAGCACAGTCCCAAGGTTGTTTAAACTCCTTTAAAGGAGGAACTAGCCATTTCTTTGCCCTTTGGCTTTATCCATTTGGCCTTTGCATTTTCTATACGGATGACAGCACAGCTAAGGTGGGTCTAGAGGTCCGCGGAGGACCGTGATGGGGCATCAGTTCTCATCCCTCTCTGGGGTGCAATGACCTCGTGTGTGGGAGGGAACACCCCTCCAGCCTCAGCACTCCGTGGAAGGGTTGGTGGGCGAGCTAGTGTTTGGGAGAAAAAGGCCTCCAGGGAGTGGGAGAGCCGTTTCCTGGGCTAAAGCAAATCCTTTGGGTTTTTCTGCCGGGAAGTGAAAGCAGCTGGTGCTGTTGGCGTAGCCATGCTGGAAGCTTCTCTGCGCGTCCCCGGGAAGCCTCTGGAAGGGACCCTTAAGGTCATCTTGCGGAGGACTCGCTAGGGCCAGAGAAAAACCGACAAGAGCCTGGCAAACACTCGTGGAGCCTGGGGCAAAATCCCAGAAAGCACCCTGGCCAGGCCTAGAAGACCTTTGGAAAGCTGCCGCACCCCTGGGAAAGGCACAGGCTTGCCCCCAAGCTCTGCTGACGTTTGGTCCCATTAGGAGCCATAGCTGGTTCCAATGTCCTGAGCACAATTACCAAAGCTAAGCAGAAGCATGTGACGAAGGCGCCGTGTTTCCAATTATTTTCTCTCCCTTCTCTCTGTGTCTCTCCCTCTACGCCAGGGCTAGAGGAAAAGTAGTCTCCCACCGAAGTCCAATTCTGGCCGCTCCTCTACAGCCCTTTTGCAATTATTCCCTTCCTTTGTTACATTTTCCATAAAAACAAGGCTCATTTTGAAAACTGTCTTTGCTCTGCACCAAAGGGTTAGCCCCCTGCCCCCAGCACATCACCAGCCTCCCATCCCATGGCCCCTGCCACCCCCGCATGAGAGCCAAGGCTGCAGAAAGTCACGGTTCCCTCCGGAAAAGCTTATTTTTAAAAACTGATGGTACTCATCAGGCACTCCTGCAAATGGTCCACTGGGATTAGCACAGTGTCCACCAAGGAAGTTGACCCATCTGCTCTCCTAGATCCCACATGCAGCCAACTTTTCCACCGCTGAGTGAAGCACACGGCCTTGCACCTGGTCCCAAAGTCCCCAAATGTTTGTGTCCTGGAAAATGCCCAGTGATGGAGCTCATCTTTGCTGGGACGGCTATGCTGGGCTGGGAGAGTAGGTGAACGGGAAGGGGGATTGGGCTTGCTTTCTAAGAATCCAGGCAGACGGCAACAGAGGTTGGTGGAAAAGAACAGAGAGCCCGGCACTGGAGGGGAGAGTTTAGGCTTTGACTGCAGGAGACTGGCTCCTCTCCTAGGCTTGGGGTGGGATAAAAGACAGTTTGAAAAAGCCTCTTGGTCCCTGGGTGTTGCTGTTACATGTGCCAGTAGTATCTGAGAAAAGAACATCTGTTCTATGAGGACTTTTTTTTTTAGGCAAAAAGAGAAGTCTATCAGCTTGCATATGTGAATAGATAGGGTGGCATCAGGTATGGCTGGATCTAGGTGCTCATATTACATCATTTAAATCCATCCTTCTCACTCTTTCTCTCTGTCCTCCTCGCTTTCTCTCTACTTGCTTCCTACCTGTCCCCCAACCTCTGTGAGTCCTGTACTTTCTTGTGTCTGATTTACTCTCAGCAGCCGTCCCCACACAGTGGCCCTCAGCAACTCCATATTTATACCCTCCCCATTTAGCACCAGTGCAAGGCCAGAATGATCTTGACACAAAACTTTGATTATCTTTCAATTTTTCAATGCCTGATGGACCAGGGCTGGCTAGGAGCAACACACACACACACACACACACACACACGCGCGCGCGCACGCGCGCACACCCTTCCTTCTCCATGCGGCCCAGGTGAGCTGTGGAGAGTCCTGATGAAGTTAACAAAATGCAAAGAAATTTGAATATAAATATATAAATACTCATAGTGACCTTTGTATTGAGAGTTACTAGTTCTGGGAAGTTGACCGGACAGAATCAAAAGAGCTCCTGTTTTGGGGATGATGGCAGGGAGGGGAGCATCATCATTTGGATTTGAAAGGGGGCATCTGGAGTAAAGGTGAGTAATGAGAAGGGAAAAAGAAAACACTAAAAAGCTTGAATTCTATGTATTCCTCCGCCAATAGATCTGAGCATTGCGTGTCTGGTTTTAACAAATCTTCTCAAAATGAAGCAGGTTCTTGGCAAGCAGACTGTGCCCTCTGTGCCCGGTTCATGACTTAGGGGCACATAAAATGCAGAAGTGATAAAATGAGAGTTTCAGTGGTTTCGGGGGAAGGAAATAGACTGTGGGCTGTGGCTCGAAGGGGAGGTGAGCGTGAGGAGAGAAAGTGCAGGGTGTAAAGTACTTGTTCAAGAAGATAAGCAGGAATACGGTTGCATTGTCGACATGGTGCCGAGGATAGCGTGCTGTGTATGTACTTTTTTTTTTTTTTAGAGAGAGAGCGTTTGCCCGTGAGCAGGTCGTGGGGAGGGGGGGAGGGCGGAGGGAGAGAGAGAATCTTAAGCAGCCTCCACGCCCAGCGCAGAACCCAACACGGGGATCGATCTCAGGACCTTGAGATCGCGACCTGAGCCGAAATCAAGAACTGACTGAGCCACCCTGGCGCCCCTCGACACATAGTTTTTAAAAAACAGAAGCGATCTGAGTATGTTTCCACCCTGCTGCTGGAGGCCTGGTGCAGAGGAGAGATGCCCGTGAGAGGGATGATGATCAGCGTCAGCGTGAAGCCGTAGAAGAGAGCAGGCTCCAGAGTCACGCTGCCTGGTTTAATTCCTGCTGTCACCGAGCCCGAGCTGTGTGATCTCAAGAAAGTGACGTAACCTCTCTGTGCTTCGGTGACCCTTTTTGTAAACTGAGGATATTGATGGAGCCTACAGTAGATTTTTGTGAGGGTGAAATAGTAAAAGCAATCGGAGCAGTGCCTGGTATACCACAAGCTCTGAATAAATATTAGCAATTATTATTTTGTTGTTGCTGTGCATCAACACTCTGGAGGAATGGGAGCCAGAGAACAGATGGGGGTGGGGGGAGGGCCCAGCCTCAATGGGAGGGCGGGTGTTCCACTACCAAGGGTGTGGAGAGTATGTGTGGATGGCAAATGCATGTGCAAATTTGGTGGTAGAAAGCCGGGAGGATTGCTGTCTGAGAGCTTCTGCATTTGCATGAAGCAGGAAGAGACATTGTCTATGATGGCAAAGGAGGGGAATCTAGTTTCTAAGAAGGGAAAGTTTTGAGATTGTCATTGTTGAGAATGTATGATCAGGCTAACTATGGAAATGCTGTGTAACTGTTGGCCAGAGCCCGGGGTGACCCGGTGGGCGGCCACGGGTGTCCCATGGCAGCAGTCTGCTCGGGGGTGGGGGTGTCCCCTGCACTCGGGGGTGGGGGTGTCCTCTGCAGGCCTCAGCACCCTGCAGCCAGGCATGGGGCTCAGCAAAGGTGGAGGGTTCTCCCTTACTTAAGATGGAAGGACATAGAGTACAGGATTTGAGATACTGGGAGGAGGGTGGTTTGATGAAATGGACCGACATCCAGTTAATTTGTGCTAACGCATCAAGAGCAATGCCTGACATAGAGTGAGCTTTCCAGTATTTTTTCATTCATTCTTTTTCATTCATTGCTATTGGTTGCTATAGATGGTGAATAAACTGATAAAATTAAAGGGCTAATACAGAAAACAATCAATGTGTGTGATGTAGGTGTTGAAAAACAGTCTTCTTTTAAGAAGAAATGCTCCTTGTGGGGGCTCTGAAAGGGCTTCTAGTTAATGAAATGTTGGAAGGTCTCTGCTTTTCCTTATTCGACCCTGGCTGTGCACACGGCAGCCCCACGGTTTGCTGTTCTGGCAACGGCTCTGTGTTGTGGCTTGGGCTGGAGTCAGGAGCTCTGGATGGACCCCTTTGCCACCTGCCTCCCAGGAACTGAAGCCGAAGGAGGGGCCTCGTGGTGATGCCGAGCTGAGCAGGCTGGGTTCAGAGAGACGGGGTTGACCGGTGTGTGAAGCCGGTCCTCCCTCGGTCGGGCTGTGAGATGGGGATGGGTGGGGATGGCCGATGGAGTGGGAGGCCCTGGCCAGGCTGTGACCTTCCGTCTCGTACACTCAATCAGCCCCAATGGGTCAGCACTGGGCGACACTCCCAACCCGGGTCGTAGGCTCTGCATCTGGAAAGGTGGATGAGGCAGCAGCGGTTCTCAGACGGGGCTCCTGGATTCTGGGGTTTCTCTGGAGATGCTACAGGACTCACCGGGGCTGGTGAAAGGGGCCAGGCAGGCACATCCTCATCCCCCGAACCTGCTCCCTAGACTGGAGCCCCTGCAAACTTGTTGGAAGCACAGACGTCACAAAGCTCGGACCTCTGTCATCTCTAAAGACATCCCGTGACTCCATGGCGCTTCGTGGCTTTGGGTCTGCGTTTCCCTTCTCCGTGCCTCAGTTTCCCTGTCTGCAGAGTGAGGGTTTGGATAAGAGAAGCTCTGGCTTCTGGGAGTGGAGGGGGTGGTAAACACTGGGGTTCCCCGAGCCCCATGTGGCGGGCCATGTGGGCGGGCCAGTGCCACCAAAGGAGCATCTCCCCACTGCCCTCCCTCACGGGCACTGGCTCCCCGTCGTTCTGCTCCAGGTCTCTTGTCCCGCTCCACTTGTCAGTAGCAAGTCACACTGCTTCTTTCTGCTTCCTCTTTCCTCCAGGGCCCCACGAAGTGGTGACCAAGCCCAGTCCGGTCACCACCCGCCACCCAAGGGCCACAGATCGGGAGAAGAAGAAGGGCAGCCTTACTTCCTCTCTGAGGATGGACCCGCACAGCCGTTCTGGAAAGAGCAGAAAATCTACAAAACTCCGGTCCATCTCCCGGTCCTTGATGCTCTGTAATGCAAAGACCAGTGATGACGGCTCAAGCCCCGATGAGAAATACCCCGATCCCTTTGAGGTTTCCCTGGGCCAGGGCAAGGAGGGGATTTTCCACTCGTCTGTGCAGTTGGCGGACACGTCGGAGGCTGGGCCCAGCAGCATTCCTGATCTAGCACTGGCCTCTGAGGCGGCTCACCTCCAAGCAGCTGCCAGTGATCGAGGCAAGAGCTGTAGGAGGCTATTCTTCATGAAGGTATGCCCAGGACTTGCGGCGTTGGAAGACTGTGGTTGGTTTCGGGTGCTCTGAATGAAAGTCTTTGAACCCTTTTACTCTGAGGTCAGGAAGGCACAGAGTTCTAATTCTGAGCAAAAGCAAGGAAGAAGTTGAGGCGGGGATCACGGGAATGACAATAATGAGCATGGTAGTGAATCAGGCTCAGTTAACCTTCTCACTTGAGAGACTCAGTGAGATGCTGTGGTGGTGGGAGGTAAACTGAGCCTGGATCCCTGTTGGAAAATGCAAAGAGTGATGGTCAGTATACTGGCAGGTTCTCATCTCAGGCAGGCACTCTCTGGCATACCCTCGCAGCTCAGGTCACTGACTTACGGGGCCCGGGCGAGTAGCAGACCTTATGTCACTCAGGGCAGGGATGGAGGATCAGTGTGTTTGCTCCCTGAGCACCAATCGTGAGCATTTTCCAAGTGCCCCTGCTAGTTCCCACATGGATATGAGTGCTAGAGCTGACAAGAGGAGCCATGGTGAGGGAGTGAGAGAAGCTAGGTAGTGGTTGGAGACCTGCCAAAATTCAGAATGCCTTCTCTGCCATTAGACCATATTTCAAGTTGTGTTATTACAATGAGATGGAGATTGCAAGGCACCAGGGGATAGAGGCTGATTCAAGTATTTTACTCTTGAATTATTCTCAGTTGAGTACTGTGCCTTCAGCCCTCCATCCAAGGTGGGGTTTCTCAAGGGTCCAAGCAGCCCAGAACCTTGGAGGTCGTGCAGGCCAGCTGGGAAGGGTTTGTCCCACACCTTATTGGCACAGTCACACGATTGTCAACAGCAAGTGAGGAATGCATTCCAGTCCCAATGGAGGGGATCCAGGACCTTTGCACAACTTGCTTCCTTGCAGAGGAAAACCATTGTTTAACATATATATAATAAACACTATCATGGAACATTATATAGCAGGTTAGCAGGTCAGGGCCCAGAGAGGGGATAGACCCGGTGATCTCCAGACACAAGCAGCTTCTGCAAGGGCCTCACCCAGCCCGGGTTACTCCATCACCCATGATGTGACTTCTGTTGCTATGACCTGAGCTCACCCAGTAGGACAGAAGGAGGGACCAGCATCCCAGCGGGTTTGGGGGAGCCTGGCCAGGCTCCTGGTTTGCCAAGAATGATGTGACAAGTATACAACCCACCAGCTGAGAGTCAAATTGATTGATGACAAGATCACGTTGTCCAGGTTTGAGCTCAGATAAATGAGATTCAAAAATCATTTGGAGATTCCAACAGACACCTAGAATGAATTATTCACTTGCTTCTATTTAATTGTGCAAGTGTTTCCTGAGCACCTGTTATGCTCAGGAGGGATCCCTGCCCTCAAGGATCTTGTCTAAAGTGGAGTAGAGAATACACTACAAAGGGCTGTCGGAGGCTCACAAAGAGGGAGCGTGTCTCTGGCGTTGGATATCAGTACATTCAGTGAGTGTTTGCAGAGTACCGACCTGTGGGCCATACAGACCCAGTCCCTGTCCTCTCACAACTCTTACTTTGGTGGGGGGACAGCTATGAACACCTCATATGTGATACGACATTAAACAGTGAAGGGCTCTGAAGAAATCTTAGGCAGCAAAAGAGGATAGAGAGTGATGAGGGGAGAGTTCACTGTCCTTTTTGGGAAGGTGATCGTGAATGCTTCTCTGAAGAAGGGACATTTGAGCAGCGACCTGAAGGAGGTGGACCAGTGAGCCCTCTGAACATTTCAGGTGGGGAAGAGCATTCCAGGCAGCAGAAACAGCATGTGCAAAGACATGAAGAAATGAGTGATTTGCAGTGGCAAGGGGAAGAGTGTGCCTGGGGGATTTTGGACAGGGGAGGGCGGCAGAAGGTAAAGCTGGGTGGTAGCCAGGGCACGCTTGGAATTTTGTTCTAAGGAGGTTGGGAGGCTGCGCGAGCAGGGGAGTGGCCCAGCCCAGCAGGGGAGAACTCTGGCTACTGAGGGGAGAGTGGAACGTGGGGGACCAGCTAGGGCTTTGGCAATAACCCTGGCCGGAGGTGATGCGCCTCTAAGACGGCGGTAGTCGCACTGAGAATGATCAGAGTAGATTTATTTTCAAGGCAAACCCAGGGCATTTGTTGACCGGATTTGTCTTGTGAGGAGATGGGAGGCAGCAAGCTTCACTTCCGGTTTTGACTTGAGCAACGCCAGGAAAGCAGATGCTCTGTGTTGAGGTGGGAAACGCTCCGGGCTGGACACATGATCAGGAACCGATGAGATGTTCCCCGAAGGACCCGGGGTTCGGCTCAGCAGGGGTGGGTGGCGGGGAATCCCAGGTAGAAGGAGCTGCATACGTGAAGACATGGAGGTGAGGAGGCACTGAGGACTTCTGTGTGTGTCTGGAGCTCTGTAGACGGCACCTGTCCGGTGGCAGGAGGCTGGATGACGGGGAGAGCCAGATGAACGGCTCAGGGGAGGAAACTGGCCAGGAGTCAGGCTTCACCTCTTTGGTCTCTGTGATGCACAGGTGCACCATACTTTCATGGTTTAGATAATGTATCCACAGCTCTTATTGTCTCCCCAAAACCTCGGGAGGAAGGTAGTCCCGGCTGCATCTGTATTTTGGGGGGGCGGGGTGCCATATGGCACAGGGTTTAGGGGGTGTGGGCTCATTAGTCTGACTGCCTGGGTTTGAGTCCAACTTTTCCATTTGGTAGCTGTACCATCCCAGAAATTCACGTTACTTCCCCATGCCTCCATTTTCTCACCGATTAAATGGGGAATGTGAACAATATTGTTTAGCTCATAAGGGTTTTTTTTATCAGGATTAAGTGATAAGTATTTACATAAGAAAATCAACCTGAACCGGTACAGTACACATAGTAATTGCTTACTTAGCATTATCATTACTATTTCCGGTTTAGGAGGGGGACACTGTTGTTGAATGATAAAGTAATGAATCCAGTAGCATTTCCTGAGGACCTCCAATGTGCCCGGAGCGTGAAGAGTTGTAGCTCCTGCCATGCTTGTGGAGATGGGGACAGCGCACATCTCTCCCGTTTCAGGGTGTGGGTGCAGACATGTAAGGGGAGGGCCGGGAACACTGGGGGATATGCAGCTCTATCTGCCGAGGGGCACCCTGGAGGAGGTGCCTGTTGACCGCCGGATATCCAGGTCAAGATGTCCAGATCACAGGGAGTGGTGCGAGCAGGCGGAGGGGCATGAACGGAGGCTTGGAGGCAGGGAAGGGGTAATGGGCACAGTTGAGTCACGCTGGGGACAAAGATGGCTCGGAAAGGACAGGAGGGCTACTGACCAGCTTGGAACCCAACGCGAGGTCTTGTTTTTCCTTATCAGGAGCACAGGTGATCTTGAACCACCCAGGATCGGATTCTCAGCAAGTGAGGTTTTCCATGTCTGAGCAGGTCTTCTATCAAGAGTGCCAGGGCATAAGGTTCAAAGGTGACAGCTGGTCCCAATGTCCTTCCTGGGGGTGCCTCAGTATTGAATAACACCCCCACCCTCCCCTTCTCGCAGGGACATTCTAGTCCCTGCCCCGGCTCTTGCCCTGCCTTGCACCCAGGCGTGACTCAGTTGGCCCAGATGGACTCCTCAGTCTCCAGCAATGCCATGGTTACACTGATTTCAAAACAAAACCTGGAAAGAGGCCCCGTGACATCAGTCTCTCATCTAGAAACGCCTAAATGAAAATTAAAGAAGAGGAAGTTAGATAAACAGCCAAATAAAAAAATGCCATCTTGGATGTGTTGTGCTTGGCATGACCAGGGCTGAGGAAATGAGTTCCTGGGGATGTGCCAGAGCTGAGCGGGTTTGCGCAGAGTCCGGAGTGAGCATCCGAGCCCGCATCCTGCTTGAAGGCACTGGTGAGGCTTCTTCTTCCAGGCCCCCGGGGATGAACTGAAGTGGAAGAATGTTGAAAACTAGACTCTAACCCAACAAACAAAAATACTCAATTTATCAGGCCTAGACCTTGAAAAGGAGGAAATGCACGGACTCCTTGGCTACTTCAGACCCAGTGTCTGAGCATAATGGATCCTGTCCCTTGTCCCCTCCTCCAAGCTACGTTCAGCTTATTTAGCTTTCTTACGGGACAGTCTCATGCAGGGGTTGAGTAGCAGAATTGCATCCTCGCAGGAGCCTCCTAGGTTGTCTTCCACTTCCCCAGAGCACTCTACAGTAGCAAGATTTATGCTCCTCAGATAGGACTTCCCTGGAGGTGAATGGGTCCATGGGACCGTGAAATCTCAGTGATCTCAGAATGCAAGGATGAGCTCAGGTCCAACAGAAATCCCTCCTGTCGGCCCCTCCCGGAGGCTCCGCACAGGTGGATGAAGGATGCCGTAGTGCTCTGCGGGAGCATTAGGATGAGCCTGAACACCTGGGTATGCAGGTAGGGTGAGGGGGGCAAAGGCAGGGGGTGGAGGTTGGGGGGCAGGGAGGGAGACGTGTCGGCGTCCCACAGCGCAAGCCTGGCTCCAGATGTACAAAGAGATCCTTTTACTTTTATTATTTTTAACACATTTTTTTTAAAGATTTTATTTATTTATTTGAGAGAGAGAGAGAGAGAGCATGTGAGAGAGAGAGAGATCACGAGCAGGGGGGAGGGGTAGAGGGAGAAGCAGACTCCCCGCCGAGCAGGGAGCCGGCCGTGGGACTCGATCCCAGGACCCTGGGGTCATGACCAGAGCTGAAGGCAGATGCTTAACTGACTGAGCCATGCAGGTGCCCAGTTTTATTTTTTTAATTATTATTTTTTAATATTTTAATTCCAGTATGTTCACATACAATGTAATACTAGCTTCAGGTGTACACTACAGTGATTCAGCATTTCCATGCATCACCCGGGGCTCATCACGACAGGTGCCCTCCTCATTCCCCATCACCTGTTTCCCCCATCCCCCTCCTCCCCACGGGTGACCAGCAGTGTATTCTCTAGAGTTAAGAGTCTGTTTCTGGGTTTGTCTCTCTCTCTTTTTACCCTATGCTCATTTGTTTCTAAAATTCC